GACGTTGTAAAACAAGCCAATTCACTTCGTGAACTCGGCAACCAGGTTACCGTTTGTTTTTTTTTACTTCTGTTTTTTTTGGAGGCAACCGTGGTGGTGGTCGAGTAGATCATGTTGTGCGGGGTGGACAATCCTCACTCCACGCAAGGGGGATGATCGCACCACGTTGTGTTAAAACGGTCAAGCACCCTCGAGGCAGTTACACAGTGCTTACAACTGTCTCTGGAAGTCAAAGCACCAGAAAACAAATTAATCATACGCAGCTGTCATCCGTATGCAAGGAAGTAAGCACAAGATGCCGAAAGCCCTTAGCAGGATGCAGCGCACCCTTCATGCGACTCGCCGAATAACTCACGGCGCTTCGCGCTTGGTGATGCGAGAGCCTAGTCCGGTGAGAACCCGGCGTGCTCCGTCCCGGCTTTGTAGGGATGCGAGGTCAATGGTCTAACGACTACGGCATGCACGGCTATGAGTACACCCCCCTCCCCCCCAACGGGGCACACTTAATACGACAACGACAATAAGTTGCTTGAACCCGAGCAGCACGCATACATCGATAAAATCCCACGATATGGACGCACAGCCAACCGTTACGATTAAAAACTGACATTGAAACAGAAATGAGCATACATGTAATATCCTTCTTCAGTGAATACTCTAATCACACTGTATCGTCCTCAACACACCTTTAAACTATCGACCTTTGTTCAGTATTCTAGATCAATGTAAGGAACACGCCAGCCTGATAGTACCACGCTTCCTGAGGCTGCAGTTTCACTGACGTAGTGTGCGAAACCATATTTCATACGCCTCAACCTTACTGTGCCACATGCTACCTCGTTCCCTTACATTGCTGCACCTTGGAGGATAACCTTGGAGCGCAGCCGGCGTGATAGGAGCAGACTACAAAACGTCGTATGCATTGTCGGAACCCTCAGCCCCCCCCCAAAAATGCACCTGGTTCCACGTCATACATTCAAAGTCGAGAACCGGGCACCCGTCGAGCTTTCTTTTTCATGGGGTGCTCACGCCCCCTCCAATGCCGCCAGTTCTGATCTGCTTACGCACCTACAATTCGGTGGGCGCGCGGCGAACAAAGAAGAATAGCATCATACGCGCCTGATAAATCTTGCGCGTCATGTGTCACCATAGCCCACATGTCATGTGTGCGGGGGGCACGCTTTTGTTGCTAGCCCTCGTCTCTTTCTACCGGAGCACCGTTCCTACTCCGACTAGAGATAGCGGCAACATGCGGGCGCTCTTTCCGGCTCTTCCTTGCATTAGTCAGATCTTCTTCTATTGACCTAATGGTGGAAGACATATGCCGCATTCAATGCACAAGAGTAGTCTACCTTCAGACCACGTACTGGATGAATACACGTCGGCTTGTTATATAGTATTCGATTCATATGCACGAAGAGCAAACGCTTCTGTACCAATCATGAACCAGACACACCCACCTGAGTCGGCCAGAGACGACCTCGAACACCCAGGAAGTCGAGCCCCAGCGCTGGGAGCCAGAAAATGACGTGCGTTGCCGCAAGTCCGGCCTGACATCACTCACCAACCAGAAGAAATGCCAAAATGGGTCCGATATGCCAACGCACCTCCCATGCCCTTCGTTTCCCTCGCAAAACCTGTTGCCCTCCCCCCTGGCACACCCCCGCGTCCTTCCTTTCCTGTCCGGTCTCGGCTTTCTCCCACCGATAAGTACGATCAACCGCCCACGCGCAGCCGAATGGCGCACGGCCGACTACCACTGGAAATCAAACTTTACAAAATGTGGTTCGGGGGTGGGACCACACAATCGCAAAGCTCTCCACGCGCATGCTCAAAACATTCTCTATGTGCTGAACTGATCTTTTTGCGGTATTGACACAAATATTTGATCTATCTCTCAAGTTAACGCAGCACAACAGGGTCAACCCTTGTGTCTTGCGTTTATCGCCAGGAACACTCTGTTCACAATTCGATCCTATCCTCTCTCAAACACGGACAGATAAGAAAAAAATCGCCTGACCTCCACACCACAACCGTTTTCAATTTTTTCTTAATCAACGCCACAGATTTAGGACAAGTACCTCCGCCTCCCACCCTATAGAGCACTACGGTCAGGCATGCACACATCATAAACACTTTTGTTTAACAAGCATCGTATAGTCTACAAAAACAACGGTTTGACCATGCAAGCACCATGCCCACTTCCTCAGCACAGCTGTCGGCGTCTACTCAGCACTAGCACGCCTTTTTACACTTTTTCGTCCGAGGGGGTCCTCTGTGTGATTACCTGAAGTGCATGAGACACGTCAGTCTTGGAGAACGGTTTCCACATGAACAAAGTGTTGTCGCCAAACTCTTCCATCTTAACCTCCCGCCCGCTGCACAGGATGCACGGAACATTCTTCGACACCCCGCGCAGACGACCTTGGCGGATGTCTGATATCAGATCCGCTCCGGTGCATCGGCCTTGTCCCATGTAATGGTCGGTGATGACGACATCGATAGCGGCTCCCTTGGCCATGAGATGCTCTTTGGCCTTCTCGCCCGAACCGAGAGGGGTAACGTCGCAGCCCAATCGGATCAAGCACCGCTTCATCATCTCTCTGATGACGAGCGAGTCGTCGATGACCAGAACGCGGAAACCGGTAGCGGGCGGGGTCCACTCCACACCCGCGTCCACCGCATTTGTCTTGGTCGGATCGGTGCCGATAGGCAACTCGAGCGTGACTGTGGTTCCCTTGTCGACTCCGGGACTCTGCAGGTCAACTTTTGCCTCGAGGAGCTTGCACATGTCCAGCACGCTCGAGAGTCCTAGTCCTGAGCCTGGGGCCAACTGAGCTCCCCTGGCGCACCTGAACAGCGTTCCGAAGATTTTTGGGATATCCTCCGCATCGATGCCGATGCCGGTGTCGATTACCTGAAGGATGACGCTGCCGGTTGTGCCCGCATCGTCTTGGCGAGAGACCCTCAAGACAATCGTCCCCGACTTCGTGTATTTTACGGCGTTCCCGACCAGGTTGCTAAGTATCTGATGCAAGCGGTCCCTGTCCGTGAACACCTTGAACTCGCCCTCCGCCGTACCCAGGTCGAGCGTCGTTTCTATGCTCCTGCCGGCCATACGAACCAGCGCCTTCGCGAAGTTAACATGCAATTCTGCCATCTCTTGCACGTCGACCTCCGTCCGTCGTATAGGTCGCCCATGACCTTCAGGCTTGAAGGAGTCTGTCATGTCCTTCACAAGCGTGCCGTTCATTGTGATTGCCGCTTGGATCATCTTCAGCTGACTAGCAGATTGCCCTGTCGGTGGAAGGGTGTCCGCTAAGCTCTCGGTCACACCCCAGATGAAGGTGGTGTTGTTGAGCATGTCATGCGCTACCTTGCAGAGTTGCACTGTCTGAGTCTCTATCATCTTTTCCGCTCTTTCTAGAGAGGCTTTCTCGCGGGCCTGGAGTTTACGCAATCTAGTCGAGGAAATGCTGACGAAGGCACTGCAACCGGTCGCGACAGTGGTCGCAAGTTGCGTCGACAGGATCACGTTTCTAGCTCCTTCTTCAAAGTAGCATACGGAGTTAAAGGGTCCTCTTCCTCCCATGGTTAGCCCTAGCATAAGCGCTGCAGCGACAGCGCCCATGAGACATGCATTCCACTGGTCCAGTTGGGTGCTCACGGTTACGATAGAACCGTAGGCACCCAGGATAGCGCCGAAAGCAAACACCCCATAGTCCGTAAACGCGAACATAAGGACAACACCAGCGAGGCCTAAAACCATAGCTGCCTGAATCGGCTGCTTGCTGCTCCACAACGCCGGGAGAACCATCGTTGGGTACAAAACCACCGTCGTTCCTGAGATGTGACCCACGGTGTAGTTGACAAACACCTTCCACAGGTTTGCCCCAAAATACAAACGAAAGGCCACGCTTCCTGGAACACTCGCCGCCAAGCTCCCAGCAAACACCGGGAAAAGCATTAGCGCGCCAAGGAACTTGAGTTGCTCGATATCTCGGGGTATCATCGGAGTTCTAGGGAATACTCGCCTAAAACAGTGTTCGCCGACCACACATCCCAGCGCGTTGCAGAGAGCAACAGCCACTACCAGCCCGGTCGGAAAGCGCTCGTAGTGGAAGTCCAGGAGATAGTATGCCAGAGCGCCAGAGAACACGTGGGCAAAACGCTCCAGGCGGCATTCGGCGGGTGTGTTGAACAGGAGTCCCGCGGTGATGGCCATGCCCGTCCAGAGGTAGCTTGTGTCTTTCACGAAGACAGAAATGCTGGTATAGACGCTCAGAAGCTGTAGAGCGAATCCGGCAGCTACGCGCGCCAGTACACGCCAGGGTGCCGCCGACATCGGTGCTGTTTCACGTCCAGACAGTCCGGGCTCTTGGTCCGTTGGGTGGACTGCACGGCACAGGCATTTTCTCATTTTCCAGTTCTCATGATCACTACAGCAGCAGTAGTAGTTGTCCGGGTGGTCGTCTCGCTTAACTGTTCAAACGAAGTGAAGAACCTTTCCAGCTGCGACTCGTGCCACACTGCTTGGGTCAAGCTCCATCTCGGTCGTCTCTGTGTCTTTGTACACGCACACCGTGCACACACGTACATACGTGCGCACAAGAACTATGTACCTTGCTACGCGAGTCGGTGGAAACGAAGAGGAAATGTCGACATGACCATGGCTACTGCTGTATGTAGGATTTTCAGTCGGGCAGCGTCCAGAAAAAAGTAAACGGCGGTTACACCCCGCAAAATGCCTCGTCTCCATTGCCTGTAAATAAAAGGATACGGTATACGTATGTCGTTTTCCCATCAGTCGGTCGCCCCGGTGGTCTGTATCCTCGTAATCCGCTAGTCGCAGAGGTCGTGAGTTCGAATCCCCATGGGGTGAAACATTTACGAAATGTGCGGGTGAAAGCGAATTATGGCTGACAAGCTGTCGTGAGCACCAAACTTCGACGTTAGCACCGTTGACGAGGGAAAGGGACGGCTGGAGGACCCTTCTCGCGAAAAGTATATAATTCGGCACGCACCGCAGGAGGAGGAAGGTGGGTCATGGAAAGGAATACAAAGAAGAAAAAAGCCCTGGTGTTTACCCCCTCCTGTGTGACCCTGGATGGTTGTAGGTGTACGAAAAAAAACACTGAAAAATAAGTTACTCTACATACGCTGAAAAATGTAGTACACGTCTCACCACGAAAAATGGGGGGACTACTGTCGTCGCCATAATAAATAGGACGGAAACACACACACACATCAGTGATTGGTAAAATAGGTTATATGGATCCTGAGAATCGCCCTGCACGTACTTATGTGTGCTTCAATATCAAGTTCCAGTGGTCATAGGTGAAAATGTGCGTACTATGTCTTTGTAGTCTTGTTATGTTGTTAATCAAGTTGCGCACACAAGAGACAGATCACGCGTATTGTAAAAATGGGATCATTGTTGTAGGCTGCCGTTCTTCCCGCGACGACGATGCATCATCACTCGTAATCTTGTGCTCTACGCTGGTCCTTTTTGTTCAGCCAGTGAACGCGGTCGAAGTTGCTAGAAAAACACACATGCATGCACACGCAAAGGTTCGGGCTAGGGCTTGCGCGGAGCTTCGGTGTGCGCCTCTCCTCCGCAATGCCCCGGCGAAAAATAACCAACAGACACACGGGCAGACACACGTCAACAACAGGCTTCAGAGGGATGCAAAATAAAACAGCGATCACATCCGTCCGAATATGCGGAGCCCCCTTCTCTCCATGGCACTGGGTCATCCAGTCATCCAGTCGTCTGCTGGTATGGGTTACCCTTCGGTGCATGACTGACGATCTTCTTTTTGGCTGTCTTCAGAGAGGCGTGCGCACCACGTTTGGAGTGCGGAGGGTTCGCTAAAGTGCCGTGCAGGAGCAGCGTTCCTGCATTATGGGATGCTGCTCGGTTACTGCGCCGGATGTGAGTCGAACGTGCGCAAAGGAGAACAGAAGCAGCGGGCCGCTAGACAGCGTGCGCCGGGCTCGTTTGTCGTGTTTGCAGCGAAACCATGAACAAACTGATGTCGCGTATAGGTACTCCTTGAAACTCTGTGAGGTCAACAGCAAATGCTTTCCTGCGATGTATTTGTTTTCACAGGTGGACTCGTGACCCAAATACGGAAACTCAACAGAGTGGTGTGTCGGACGGTTTTGTCGCATCGCGTATGACATTAGTGCTTGTCAAATGACTTCTCCGTCGTATGGGAAATCAGTGATGTAGCTGCCCAGCACTGCTATCCTGTCTACCGTCTACAAGGCGGGCTACAGCAGCAGCGTCCGTATATACCATTCCTCCGCTGGCGTGTGAACGGTACAATAGAAAGGCGGTCAAGCGACCCGTGTGGAATGCTTGCTGCTGTGCCGTGTTCACCATACCATTTCCGTGACCAGATGGGGAAGCTCCGCCTGCTGCCTCGTCGCACGTATTGGGAAAGAAAGCCTACGACCTCTTTGCGAGTCATCTAGAGGCGCTGACCTCGCCTTTTTGCACAGGAGGCATTGGTTTTGCGTTCTCCGCGTACGCTCTCTACTGCTGTCGTTGTCAGGGCGCACGCAAGGCGCCTATTCGCGACTGGACAGCAATACGGCCCTGCGACCCTACACTGCTGTTCTGTCTGTTTACGTGGTACGGAGTAGCGCTCCGTACTGGACCGACTTTTGAAGCTTGAGAGTTCTCCACCGCCGTAGTGAAGAGGATGCCAAATTGAAATGATACGTCTTTGGAATGCTCTCGACGAGACGGTTCCAACGCCGCCATTTGCGACACGTTCATTTATCCTGCTCCAGAGAAATCCAGCTTTACAAAATTGGCCCAAGGGGGGTGATATCTATCTTGTGCAACATATCTCCGGAATTTTCTCGCAGCCACAATCGCGAACCATCCCACAATAGACGCATGTGGTGCACCAATACTGCGGTAGTTTCGGTGTGTCCTCTCTTCTCGCGTTCGGCAGTAGTCTACTCCAACTTTTGCTGACAATTGGTCTCATACATAACGTTTTTTGCTCGTTTTACCCGTTGCCTCTGTTGAAGCTGGCTCTCCAAGCCGCGACGTCGCGATTCCTCAAGCCAGGCCCCTTCGTAGCATTCAAGGTACGTGCTACATCGCGGGCAGGAATTTACTGCTGTATCTACCTCACAGGCCAATTTGAGGATTGGAGACGGTCGATGCACAAGTCAAAAGGGAGTAGAAAATTGATGTGACCTCGTTTGTCGAGCCTGGCATGACATAAGGTCGTTCTTCGTTCCTCGTTCCCTGCACCCTGCACTGACCGCCACAGCAGCGTTTCGTGCGGTAAAGTAGCACTACAATCTGTTGTGTACCCGGGACTGATCATTCCTTCAGCGGGTCCTAGACCCAGATAGGGTTAACAACAATACGGAATTAGAAGTGTCCATCTGCCGCAGATCGGGTGTTCGGGTCTCAAGAGTTTTTGCCCTTCTGCTGTTGTACGGGGCAAGAACTTTCAACCGGTACCCATACCTGGGGGTTGGGAGGGAAAACGATACAGTAACTGGAGCCCAGCCCAAGGGACTCTCAGCTGTACCGCAACAGAGTCACGTCTTCGATTGGCCCCTCCTTTCTGTTGAAACTCCAAACCCATTCTGCATCCCCCCCTCCCTCACCCGCACCCTGCGGAACCCCACGTCGTCGTTGCCCGGCCCGGCGACGCTCCTGTGTGCAGGGGCTGTTCGTGGCGTATTTCCTAACTTGGTGCTTCCTGTGGCCTTTGGAATACAACAGTATCTACTTGTTCGCCACTTACTGGGTGTGGTACACAGGAGCTGCATGTAAGTGCGGTGCTGCTGCGGTTGACTCTCTCTTGTCATTAGCTCTAACGGTTGCTTTCCGGTTGTATTTCATTCTCCAGCCCCCTATTTTGGTCTCTGCACGTCCGTCTGTCTGTGCTTCCCGTCCGTCTTGTCCCTGTGTTGGGTTCGTTCGAGCAGTCAGCGTTTTCGCCCGTTATTTCAACTGATGGTCGGGTACTAACCCAGCGTAGAGTAGCCTCACTTCTCTCTTGATACGCTCTGGGTAGCACCGAGACAAAAGGCGGTGCGGGTCGCTTTTTTGTGAACCCACCATGTTAGGCCGCGCCCCGCGTTGAACCTCAACAACAGAGGGCGAGCGAGAGCGAACATTCCTCTTGGTTGCTGTTTCACCCCAAACATTTTCGCTTGGCTTTGAGGCCGAGCAAAGTGGGTCTCCAGTGTGGCTTTGTTTCCGCGGGGAGCGGCCCAGTGGCGAGAGAGAGAGATGTGGTCAACATCATCTGCCAAGATTTGGTCAGAAGCACCACCTTCAGCGTTTATCAGATCCGCTGCTGTCTTTGTACACCCCGCAGACCGATTTCACTACAATTTTGCAGCCGTGACACGCACGTTGAGCCGCCCACCGCACCCGCCACTGACCAACGAGGGCGAACCCGACCCATTTCTTTGTCCTCCCCGCTCGCAGACTTCGCGCTTTCGTTCTCCACCGCGTGCACACACTTCAGACGATGGTCCGCGGCCACACAAGCAGGGGCGCCCGAGCACGGGAGTGGGGGGGAGGGGAGTGACCGGCCCGCGCCTTCGTGGAGCAACCTTACCGGGGATGTTTTGACGCCGGCGCTGCGGACGCGGATTCACCCCTTCGAGCAGGCCGTGTTGGCGATGCAGCTTTTTACCTGGAACGTCGCTTGCCTTGGGTCGGTGTTCGTCGCTATCATATACTGGAGCTCTCTGGTGAGATGAGAAGCCAACCGAAATATCAGCATGGCAGCTCTCACGGTCCCGGGGAGGCGGGAGAGGTTTCCAAACGCTGAGTACAAGAGATGGCCTCCCAAAAGGTTGAATCCCAGTCGAGGATGACGTACTGTAGATCGACTCTTGCCCCGAGGAAGTATAGTACCAAAGCAAGTGATGCCTCAGCGCGAAGAAATCCGCGTTCCACAAACCCCAGCACCTAGAGGTTTGAACCTTGGGCTAATAATGCCACGAGTGGATTTTTTCTTTACCCTTGTCTTTGTGCCCTCTGATGTGGTTCTCCCCGCCAATGGGGCGCCCGTGTGGGTGGGCGGCTGCAGGCCCGATTTGTTTTGTGTTTGAGACGCTTGGCATTGGGCGTTCAAGGTCGAAGGGGGTACTGTATGACGGGGGATGAAATACAGAGAGCCAAGGCACACTACAATAGACTGACTGACAGACAGGCGAAAAGGCCATCGGGTCATGCGACCCTTTTTGAGTTTTGAAGGCACACGCTCGCTGTAGAGCGAAACCATCGAGAATGCTCCTTCGGGGAATCTTGGATCACTAGAAGAGCACGACAGCAGTAGTGGAGCGTGGATGCTGTCCTTGTCAAGAGCGTGGTGGGCGCAATTCAAGCACCCGTCTTGTCGCAGTGCAACGATACTGGTCTCATGATATGCATAGTCCAAACGTTGCTCACTAGTTTTTGGGTACCCATGACCGGTATCGAAACGTCTGGCGTGGGGAGGGTGACAGCGTTTGTTCTTCCATCAAGATTTCGTGTATCCACCTGGCTGAGGGTCGTGCTTTGTCACGATTGTGTCAACGCCGCCTGTTGCAACGAGATACGCAAGCAATGAGTCCCCGTCATGACTCATGGTTTTTTCGTCGGTCCCTGATCATTCTCAACCTTGTTTCCGCGATCGCGCCTGGCGTTGCCTGATGTTGCCCGCTTTGTATGCTGCCGCAGTACACCGGGGCACCGATCTCATCAGTGGACATGAACGCACACACCCTCATTGTTTTCGTCATGGTGAGCTCAATTGTCCGTTCGATCGTTTGTGTCTTTAACCTTTCCCAGCTAACACGGCGCGGTGAGTATGATTCAGTAGCCCATGTACCTCTCGCCGCGGAAGTACACGCGGCGGCAGGTCCCATCACATGTGGCACAGTCGTCCCTCAGTCAAGGATACACATTGTTTTCCGGGAAAACAGGTTTCCTTTAGCCAGGGAAGTGTCCTTAAGATTGATACACCCCCGTGCGTTACACATCTTGCTGGCCATCATGTCCGTCCGTGAAAAAAAAAGTGTCCTGAAGCGGGGGAATGTCGTTAAAAATGTTTGTCCTTACCCGACGGACGACTGTAAGTGTTTGACCTTAGATTTTTTGGCGATGCGTTGGCAGACCGTTTCTTTTTGGCCCGCAGGACGTAGCGCCGCCCATGGAATGTCGTGTGAAATACGGTGGCCGGTGTTTGGCAGCTATTATTTGAATGCCAGCATTATGACCTATCCCTATTCTCTCCCCGGCCTTCTTTTACTTCGGGCACGGAAAGGTCATCTCCGCTCGATACCACAGGGCAAGAATGCACACCGCTGCCACTAGCAGCAGTTCCACCCTAACGTAGCAGCACCATGACCAACAGCAGTTGGCACTAGCGCCTGGCATATCCCCCATCCCGAGGCTGACGTGTTTTGACTTCTCCGGGCCACTGTGATGGTGCCCCCAGGTGGCGGACCAATTGCTCGTGGCCACACCATTCCGAATCCGAGATATGTGGAAGGCGGAAGTATTCGCGCTGACGTACCTCGTCTACAGCTTGCTTTGGTACTTTGTCGGGCAAGAGTTGATCTACGTCATCCTCGACTGGGACCGACACTTTTGGGAGGCCTTCTTGTACTCGGTGGCAGGGATCTTCGTTTTGATACCGGCGATAAGCGTCCTTCATTACTACATTTTCAGGTGCGGTTTCGCCTACGACGTTTGATTTAGCTTTAGTATTATGGCAAGATTCGTTTCTTTTTCCCGCACTGTATTTTCCCTCCCCCAGTCCACGCTTCGCGCTTGGTGATGTGAGAGCCTGGTCCGGTGAGAACCCGGCGTGCTCCGTCCCGGCTTTGTAGGGATGCGAGGTCAATGGTCTAACGACTACGGCATGCACGACTATGAGCACACACACACACACACACACACACCCAGTCCCCGGTTGAGATGGTCAAACGCTTGTGAGGATGTCAAATTTCGAGGATTGTTTTCTGTTGCTTTACGGTACAGTAGAACGTTAACGAACGTCTCGCGGGTACCTTGACGTCTGATCTAGTAGGTGGGGGCATTTCTGGTGGGGAGCGGGCTGTTTATTGTGTGTTTCTTACGTCGCAGCGGCAGCTGAGTTACCGAAGGATTCTAGCACTCTATAGCACGTTTGATGGGAACGCTCGACCTTCGGATTATCCTCACCCTTTTTGGTCTCCGGGCGCACTGATAAGATCATTGATAGATCATTCGCATTGCTGGTGTGTTGGTATGCCATGGAGTTGCCGCCCTGTATCCCTTCGCTCCAGGCATTGGCAAGTCCATAGGTGTATCGTTATTATGTGCAGCTCACCGGTGACCATGTAATAGACGTGCCAGCGGGTAAAATGAGAGTCCGCGGCAGGGTACCAAAATTCGGGGAATGCATATTGCGCTAAATGCGAATGCCACAGCAGTGAATCTCTCTAACAAATTATCCTTTCACAGAGACACACATCATAGCGCCGCACACATGCCCTCGCCCGGATCTACGAAACCACTGAAATGCAAAGAGCGGAGGGCAGCAAAAAGGGTAATTTAAGCCCAGCCAAGCCAGGATATCCTGGGATGCCGCATCTCCAAATTTGATCCAGCAGTATAGACGAGTCCAACAAAATAGCAGGACTTATGTACACTACCATCATCGCTCCACACAATCCCTCGCTCGAACCTAGGGAGCCATTCATGAGAAGGTAGGCGTGTGGTGTTGTGCTTGTGTGCTTGTGGGAAAAACACCGGAGCTCTAGTGACCCGGCAGGGCTCACACTGGGGGGGTGTACTCATAGCCGTGCATGCCGTAGTCAGGGCTCACAATAGGGGGGTGGGCAAAGTACAGAAGTGCAGATACCGGCTAGGTCGACAAGCCTTCTCATAGATCATTTTATGATGCTGAAAAAAGAGTAGTTTAGGCAGTTTGACGACTAATCATTTCAAGGCTTACCGGCCACACCGAGACCACCCATCAACCTCTCTATGATCCTGTCTGTGGTCACCACCCTGTCGCGGGCTGCGCTCATGGCGTATACGTGGATATAGCTATTCCATGTACACAAGTACAGCGGTTGTCTCGTTTGCTGCACTTCTCTCTCCCTCCGCGCTGTCTCCCGCCTTTCTTTTTTTGTTTGGCCGAAAAATAGAATTACGCCAGATAAACCCAAAGGGGCTAACGCCGTTGCCGCGAAAGCATACCGACAGGAGAATTGCGCCCCTTTACAGGGGTACGCGCGTGCCAAACGCTAGAGCTATTCCCTCATCTGTTTCTCAGGTTTTCGTTTTTTCGAACCCCCTGGTTGCGTCTTGCCCTACATCCACCGCCCCCTTATCCTTTGCCCCCAGGTTGAGGGAGTCCATCTATGCGACTTGCAGGCAGCGGGCGGAATCGTCATCCGGCGTGTTGAACGACCGCCTTCTTAGCGCGGAGGACGGAGGAAGCAGCACACAGTCGGAGTCGGTAACGTCTCACGTGCCACAGACGGGTACCGACCTTGCCGCTATCGAGAACGTCTGATGAGACCGGGCAAGCTCCTGCTCCTCCTTTTTTGTCCGGGTGATTCGGTGGGCTCGTTTTTGTCATGCATGGGGTAAACCAGTCCGATAGACGCTGTCCTCGGACAGATAATTCTGTTTGGTTATCGTCATCGTAGAGGTATTGGCTACGACAAGCTATCGCGTGTGCTGCCGGGCTGGATCGATCTCTTTGTGTGGACAGAGTTGTCTGTGACGTCGCTAACGGACATGAAATAGTTTCTGGCCAGGCAATGGTGCAGCCTTTTCTAGGGTGCAGTTTGTGGAAGCCCAAAAATCTTATCGCAGCCGGCTCCGAAAGATTTTCGTGTGTGGCGGATTTTTAGCACGTATGAGCTTATCGTAAATGCTCTTTGCTGCTCAATTCGTTGGCACCATGTGCGAGCACTGTAGTTGTTAGTAGTGCAACTTTTAATAGACTAGAGTAGCACCGTTGCAGACAACCCATTACGGGTACTGCTGCAAAGTGCAGAAGATGGAGATCGGCGGAACCAGGGTATAAAGAGAGGCGGACCGATGATTCGGTGCTACTGCGATCTATTGCTCCTCCTGAATGTCTTACGTGCATGGTGTCGAGAGAGCCGCTGCCCCCCCGGCTCCTGAATGAAGTGTGACGATGACACATTACAGGTAGTACATCATAGCAGCCTTGAGCTTTGCCCCTTTTTTCGATGATAAAGGCATCATTTGGCGCGTGTGCAGGACTTTTGGCCTCGCGGTGCCCTCTTTAATCCTGCCTGTCGTTTCCTTTGTTGAGACGGGCGAGGTCTGAGGGTGATGTGGTGGAAAGAAGTGATGGTTCGTGAAACGGTTCGGTCATTTGTGGAAGTTAGTGTTCATTCAGCGTTCTGTTGGTTGGTTGGTATGCATACAGCTCGTAAAAATGCGGCCACAGAAAGATCCGCGAGAGTGAGTCGCAAGAGCAATATGCTGCCCAAAGTCACAAGTCTTGCTTCTCGTTGTACGCGGTGTATCATCGTCGATTGTCGAGCGGCAATCTTCAAGATAGGTCGTTGGCGGCGCGTCTGCACGAAGCAGCTCTCGGTTGCTTCAAGGTTCGCGTGGGCCTTGTTTTGTTTTCAAGTCTGCTGTTACGCATAGTCTAGGCCCTTCGATTTGGAAGACAGCAAGTGCTCTTCGCTTGTATGAGTGTATGTGCTGTATGATGCTGTGCATATTCCTATGTACTGCTGTACAGTTGGCGCCCGCAGTTAAGAAATATTTTGTTAAGAATTTGAGGCTCACTTCTTCACGAAAAATAAGAAAATAGGGTTAAGAAACATACATAGCTCAATCTGGGTCACACAATAAGAAATGTCTTAATAAGAAACACAGCGGCGACCGCTGCCCTACTGCATAAGAAACGAGGGTTTACTTACGGGGGAGTGTGTCGAATAAGAAACAAACCCCACAGCTCCCTCGCTCTTTCCCCCTCTCCCCCGACCCCCCCCCTCCCATAGTGCAGTGGTACGGGGGTCGAGGAAAGCAGTGCAAATCATTGTATGTTCGGAACGTTGTGTATGCAAGCAGAGAAATAAGGAATTGCCGATTTAAGAAATTCACAGCAGGATTTGGCTGCACGAAAAATTAAGACAACAAACTTGAAATAAGAAACTGAACGACACACGCTGAGTTTATAGCCCACAATAAGATTTCGAGGCTGGACCTGAAATAAGCGTTTCTTTAACTGCGGGCGCCAACTGTTGTATAGTCTGTCCGGTTAAATTTTGCCACAACGTGACCCCCACTTTTTCTCGCTCATTTTTAGGAATTGAATCGTGAAACAAAGTTGGCAAGATCCGCACGGTCGAGAAGCATCGAAATCCGGGGTCAAAAAAAAATCCGTGTATTTGGCCACTTTTTGGCGAATTTGACCCCCCCATGATCCCACGGGGCCCCCACATGCACTCACGGGGCCCCCA